TCATATTATCCCAACCAACGCTGCAGGATGCTTCACTGTAAAGTAAGAATCCGCTCAACAACTTTTGGCCAATGAAGATGGCATCGTGGAGTTAATATCAGACAGCTGAGACGTACAAAGATAAGAAAAAACAACATAGCAAACTTCAAAACCTAAACCTAATCATCCTACTCTACAGCATTAATGCCACAGTGAGCATTAGACCATGGAACACTTGTGTCTTACCTTTGAAGACTTGATGCACTTAAGATGACATTCAATTTGACATTTGACAACAGCCCATTTCAGCTTTCGCAGTAAAAATGCAGTGGAAGTACCAAATTCGCAAACTGACAACAATAATGTTTTTAAACTTGTTCTTGTTTTGCATGGGTAGAAAACAACTTATTCTATCAGGGATGGGATCTCACTTTTGACATCTTTTGACCTGACTGACACGAGCAAAACAACAACTTAAGTTGGCAAAACAGTAGCTGCAAACACATCAGTCAATTCTTTTCACATCACACTTAATCCAGCAGTATCATCACAACTGTGAACAACAACCTAAAGGGTAGGTGGTTGTTTTGGTTGTTAACAATGATCATTTATACGTTACCCTTGTTTGAAAACTACTTAAGAAATCCAAACATGTGACAATCAAACCAACTTCTCTTCAGTCAGCATTCAAAACGGCAAATTTTGCCAGAAAACCATGTACAGTGTACTTATTTTGAGATAACATCTGGCTCTTACAAGTCTTACCATGCACACGTGGTCCTTCTGTTTCTATTTTAACTCCTAGTTTTGCCCTTGTGTTTACATTTTTACTTTTAACTTGATTTTTAATTGGTCCATTTGTTCTCATCTTATTTGTACTAACCGTGTTGGTCCGTACAGCATTGCAATACATGAAAAGCAGTATATAAATAATTAAATCTTCTACATCAAAGCTGTTGAGTTTTATAGTATCAGACTCATTTTACAGTTATTTGTCACCAAGTTGGGTTTAAGTGATGTTTTTTATAATGATGTAGTTGTTCTGCATGGCACTATTTCAAAATGGTCTGGTCTTGGAGAAAGACAAGGCCCCTTGGCTGAATCTCTGCTGAAAGCCCCCTGCGACCTATTTGCTCTCTATAAATCCATCAGCCGCTGGATTTCCCTAGGTTTTCCAGCAAGCGTGGGAAGGATTGTGGAATTCTGTAGCCACATCTTTTCCCGCTCTCTACCCCCCACTGCAGTAGGTAAGGTCTAAGGCGGGAGATCCTCCGTCAGCAGCTCTATGAAGCCAGCTCTCTGCTCCCACCATATCTTTTTTAAACCAGCATGTTAAAAAATTCAACACAGCTACATGCGCTGAATGCATTAGAAGCCTACAGAGAGCTACAGCAAGGGAAAAGGGAGTCCTATTTTCCCCCCCAAAGCCATTCTGCACTTACTGAACCAGATAACTTATGTTTAATGCAAGCAGTCCTTGAACATGGAATCATTATTTGATTCGCAAAAAGCAAAAAATGATATTGCTTCCGCCACACGATGCAGAAGTACGTACATGCATAAATCCAGAAATGGGGCCGTGACTACAAACATGGCATTCAATGCACTTCAGAATTGCTAACATACCTGAAATAGTAGATATGCCAGTTATGCAACAGAAATGATAGAAGAGAAAGGACTTCCACATTACTTATGTAATGCACTACATGTGAAAACTACAGAAAAAAAGAGCACGTTGATCCTGAAGGTTGAAAAGTGCTTACTAACAAAAAACACAAGGATGTGATATTTCTGACTGGCACTATAATTAGAAACCATAGGTTTGAATACAACTACACAGTCCACAAAATCTGCTCTCTGAATCTTCTCTTTCAAACTGAAAGTGTATCTTTGCTTATATCGTATTATACTTGCACCTAAATGTAGCAGCCCTATCAAACATGACTTGCTTCAATTCTTCTGTTAAGGAGACACATTTGTACATTTTCTGCCACATATTATGTCCTTGGTTCTGTGAAAGGCACTATATGAATCGTCGTATCAGAATCTAAGAAGGGACTGATAGAAGGGACTAAGAAGAGACATAGAGATAGAAATGGTACAAAAATTACTTCTGACCTGTTACACTACTGGTCAAAAGTCTAGAATCATGGTTTTCATAATATAAACAAATTCTCCAATTGTTCTCTTTCAGACTAAAGATGTATCTTTGCTTATATCGTATTACACTAACATCTAAATATAGCAGCCCTTTCAGCCCTGTAATACGATACTAATATTTTATGTGATTCAAACTATTTATAGGATGTTGTAAATATTTAAATTATTGAAAAGATGAACATTGCCTCACATTCAAAATGCAGTTTACATTTTGGTGTCTTGTTTATAACATTTCAATCTACAATGTACAAATTATCACTGAATAACAGTTATATGACAAGTGATTCCAAAGGTTATGAACATGATCTTATATTAAATTTAAAAATGTTTATTTCTTTTTCTAAAAAGTTGTTGTTTTAAAGATAAGACAGTGATAAAATAAAAACTTAATATTAAGTTGGCTTAAAAAAGCCAACTTGCTGGTTTTTGTTTTCTTCTTATTATTATTCTTCTATAAAAATTCACAATGCCACTCTTCCAACAGCTTTCGAGCTATAATCACGAACAACTGCACTGTAGATTATTATTAGGTTTAACCTGTTTGTACAGCGTTCATTCAAACATGATTTTAAAGGAATGAATGGGGGGACATGCAATGTCCAGAAACTCATTTTACTTCTATAATATATAATGTTTATACCTCCTCTGTCAGTTTACACTCTGTAAATGTTTTTGGACACTTCTCCTATGCCGGCATCATACAAGTATTCTAGCAACACCTTAACAACAACCTGGGATACTACTGCAATGGCCTAGCAACATATCAGCAACCACCTGGGTTATGATAGCAATGGCCAAGCAGCACATTAGCAACCGCATAGAACACGACAGTAACTTTATTATTATTATTAATATTATTATTATGAATATTATTATTATTATTATTACTATTTTTATTATTATTATTATTATTATTATCATCATCATCATCACTGGACAGAGACTACTAATGTGACACAGTCAATGCATAGAACCCTTACAAACCTGATGCTTCTTGTCAAACTTTGAGCAGCAACAAAATGCTTCACACAGAAGGTCATGGGCAAACTTTTCTCGGTGGCTCACATCACAGCAGGAAGGCGCAATGTGGCAGCATACTGTGATCCTCTGCTACTCTGACACCAAAATCTAATTGAGCACTATGTTCCATGCCACCTCCCATGTCCAGGCAATAACAACCCAGAACAAGGTGGCGCAGCGGTGCTACAAACTGTGACTAATCTCTCTTAGATTGTTTGGTGCGAGGTTCTACTCCAAAGCACCCCGACGCCCACGACTCATAGCTGCATCAGAACGTAGGCCGGAGAGCCATCAGGATATGCATTAACTGCTTCTGAAGATGGGTTGATGCACAAACAACGACACCATACGCCACTTTTATTTTTACACCTTCCAGGACAATTTTCTACATGTGTGGCTTCAAAAGTGACGTCTCATTTCCTACAAAGCGAAGCAAGGATGGGGTTCTAGAAACAGATGCTAGCTAGTGGTTTGTGTTGTGGATTGTTATGGAAGAGTGAACGCTCTATTGGCTTGTCATGAATCCAGGTGAAGGTTATCTACACTCTGGCAGCGCGTGGCCAGTGAACTATCAGTCAGCTGCTATGACTGAGTCTGCTATAAATAAAGCAAGCATGGAGTCTGGATGGATCTATTCATGGCGGATCGAAAATGGGGATGCTGTGATACAGCCACGATCCGCCCATGATCTGATATTAAAGCATTCAGAAGGATTATGTATCAAATTAGTGAGCTCAAAAAGATCACAGCAAACAAAAAAGTAAGAAAAACCCTTAAACTGACAAAACAAGTCTAACTGCAAAACAGAATTAATTTGGGCATGTGGGATGGAACTAAGAAAATACACTAAATCATATCACAGTGTGATCTGTAACTGTAAAATGATAAAGGTTCTTCCAAAAACTGATTTAGAAACAGCATCTACATGAGTTTTTATGACTTTTTCAATGGAACTGCACAGTTGAAGTCATTCATTTTGTCAAATTCATGTCGATAGCCTTCAATTACCCCTGTGTTGCTAGCTGGCTAAGACCTTTCAAACCTAATGCTGTCACATAAACAATACAGCTTTCAATCATAACAGCACCTGATAGCCAAAAAAATATAAATAAATAAATACAGCGATGCACTGAAATGAAAGTTTTTACCTGAAACCGACAACAAAATAAAAAAAGAAAGGGTTATTTTATACATAATTTCCTGTTTTATTTATGCTTTTGAATTAACACAATAATGCTGACAATACTTCAAAGACGATAATCGCCATATTGGAAAGACAACTTACAGATAACTAGAAGACTAAAATAATTTTAAACAGCTTGCCAAATAATATTTGTTATTACAAGCTGCAAAATTACGAAAATTGTAATACTTCATTGTTTCCCAAAGGTGTATAAAGCTGAATTCGAGAGCTGCTCCACTATAACGAAGGACGACGTCTTGTTTTTTTTTGTAATATGTAAAGCATATGGACATGGGTTTGGAAGTTTCTCCAATAGGGGGAGCTATGAGCACGTAAATCGCTTCAGAACTTGTCATTTCAAAAAGATGATACCCAGCAGGATCTAACGAACGCATGTCAAAAACAAGAGGTTAAAAATTTTGAGAATTTCATTACATCAGTTAATGCTAAAATGCATATAAGCTAAAGACTGTATAAAACACAGCTGCAGAGAATCGTGTTTGTGTTTTTCAGTGTTGATCTGCTGCTGCTCAAACAGTTTGAATATGCCAAATACAACGACCAGCAACAGCAGTACAGCATGGTAGAGACTTCGATACAAAAGCTCTCTGGTGGGTGTACTGCATGTTAAGATGAAGTGAAAGGTCATGATAAATACCTGGAATACTCTGTCTTCTGATGGCCAGAGCTCCATCTGGTGGTCTGGAGGGGTTGGAGTGTTTTGTGTAGGGCCCCTCATCTGTAAGACAAAAAGAAAAAGACGTCAATAGAGTAACAGGCATGCACACAAATGGGAAATGGCACGATACCACTTTTCCTTTTACGATACAGACATTGAAACTTTGAGTATCAGCCAGTACTAGTGCTGATACAATATTTCTGCTTTAAGAACTACTACCTTTTACAGTGAGCTATTTTTTATTAAAGTACTTCACTTAGGATGGGCAAATATAAGATCTCATAATGCGAATGCACATCTGTAATCACGAAATTACCCTGCAACGAGAATACACGTCTTCGGACAACCTGTTAAACTCTGGGTGCTGGATTGCAGCGTAATCCACTGGAACACTTGACACACATCTACATGCCTAACTGGAGTTTTCCAGGGAACTTTTTTTTTTACCATGCTGACTTACGTTACATCCATGGGCACTCAACAATGTTGACGAGCGCACCATCACCTAGTAGATTGAGCTCCGCCTTCACAAAGTGTTGGACTGCTTTAGTAATTTTACACAGTTTGTTCCCACCCTAATAAATCTGAGTGATATTGTAGGCTAGATTTGTAACAGGATTGGATCTAATTCATTCTTTTTTCCCTCTGATATCCAAACCAGCATTTTCTGCTGTATGATACCGAAACCTGGTATTGGATTAGTGCCATTTTTAGCACACACTGTATTCTTACAGCGACGCTAGCAACCCGACTCCAGATGCTTGACACATCCATGTGCTGCTTGACATTACAGGAGCCAGAAGCTCCACTCACCTATGCAAAAACACACGCACTATTCTTAGAGTGAGGCAAACATCATATCCCCTGCTGCTTGACACATCCATGTGTTACCTAGCATTACAGGAGCCAGGATCCACAAACACACACACACACACACACCCTGCTGGGCTGCACAAAGGCACATAGTGATGATTAGCACTCACTTTCACAAGGTGAAACAGCCCTAACATAATTGAAAGCTTCCTGGTTAGAGGATGTGTAGGAGGCTACCATGTATGATAGTAAAGCAACAAAAGGAAAATTCCAGACTGAAACAAAAACTGAAGACAAACCTGCCCAAAAACCAAAACCACCATTTTATACTTTTAATTAAATGAATGTACTACACATAAAAACTAAAAAACATACACTTTTATTATTAATGCTTTATTTATCACCACTCTCAATAACACAAAACTGAGCTGATCGAAAACTAAAATGATTATGGTATGTAGGCTATATAATGTGCCAACTTGTCGACAATAGAGAATGTACAGTCACTCAAGGCAACAAAATCTCTTTCTGACGAAAACAGAAAGTGTCACTTTAGACCATATTCAGACAAAATTTCTCAGTGGCCAAAATTTCGGTGCATCCCTGTTGAATAATATCTGTGTGTATGAAAAGGAGAGCAGTTCCAGCTCTGGCTGTCCGGCACAGCAGTGCATTAGAGAGCTTTGCCGGGCTTTGAGCTGCAGCTCTGAGCGCAGTGCAGTGAGAGTCATACCATAATGGAGCGCTCAGCGTGACACTCTGCACAGCGCTGTCACTTACACCAATACAGCACGGCAGGATACACTTTATATATTATATATAGATTGACAGAGAGCGGAGAAGTTAGAGGTGTTTGTACTGTAAGTCTCTTGAGCAAGATTGCGTATACAAATAGAAAGCAGGCACACTGATTCAAACACATTTTCCTGAAAGGTGCCACACACACACACACACACACACACACATTTAAGAATGCATCACAGAGGCATGTAAACACAAACAGACATGAGTAAGATACACTGCTCAAAATATTCATGAGGTTTAGTGAGTGAAGGAGGAAAGGAAAGAACACTCGCAAGCCACACACACGCTACTCCCTTTCTGATGAGTGTTAAGCAGCAGGAGGTATTTAAATGATAACTACACTGGGCTCTTGACATTCATCAGCAGGCAACGTAGCAGAGGCTGCTGGGTAATGTAGTCTGACTCTCCTTAAACTCTACTGAGCCCCAGCATCCTGATGAGTCACATAACACAGAGTTCTTTTTCGACAGAAGTACTTCTCTAACTCTGTGTTTCAGGACAAGATTCCCAAAAGCTCCAGATCAGACTTCAACCGCGCGACTGTGATCACCACCCGAGACAGCAGTTCTGAGACAAATCCCAGACAGATTATGATGAGCGCTATTTACACAAGCAGGGTGAGAGAAATGAAGGTGCTGACTCACTGCTCCGAGTAAAATAGGGAAGGCAGCAGTTTGATGAACGACCCTCATGTCCAATGAGGGTATGCACTGTAAACATGGCACTACCTCTAATGGGCAATCAGTCGGGAAGGGCATTCTCAATATTTATGAGTGATCAAGTAGTGACAAGTAGTTTCATTAGTATTCAAAACAGTCAAACATCATTTCTGTGCACTGAAGAAAGCCCGTTAACAGCATGCAAATAATATGAAAATATATATAATTTTTTTTGGCTGTCACAGTGACGAGAAAATAAACAACCAGGTGCTATTTGGTAATTAATTTCACTTCTTCTCTCTCACACAACGTCTACACTGTCAGTTGACGCTGTGCTGCCCTGACCTTCCCCTCCAATCAAAATTCACTGTAATTTCAAACTAAATACACAGTGGAAAAACGATTTGTAATCTCTGCTCATCCCAAGAATCAAGAGGTACAACGCTCAAGAACTTCATTCCACTTGAAAACTCAACATTCCACTTGATGTGCAGAATACAGCAAAACAGAAGCAGAAAGGAAAGTCCCTGCTAGCACAACCATCTGTAGCTTCAGCTTTTGAAAAGATGAAATACAAAAAAAAATTGACAGAACCCAAATAAAGTTATAGTATATCCAAAAAATTATGGAATTTATTGCCTTGGAGGACCAACCGTTTCTGTCGTTGAGGACGTTATACAGGGTGATTCAAAAAGATTCATCCGATTTCAAAGCGCCATATTTTTACAACCGTGAGGCGCCTGGGAACCAATCACATTCCAATTGAAAGAGGGGGTCAGAGTTTCTGACTGTGACCGGAGGATGGCTCCTTTCAGTCTGTGAGGAGATGGCGACTCCTGAGCAGAAAGCGTTTTGCGTTCTCCACTTCAATAAGAGTGAATCTGTCATAACTGTGCAACATGATTTTCGTCTGCAGTGAACCTCCAACAGCTCAGAGCATTCACTGTTGGTTCCACAACACTGGATGATCTCTGAAATCGCACTGAAAGAGCCGTGAGTGCAGTGAGACCCGACATGCTCAATCGAGTGTGGGATGAATTTGACTATCGCGTTGATGTTGTCCATACAGCTGGAGGAGGTTCATACTGAGCACCTGTAAAATTATATAATAAACTTTACACTCACTTAAACCATTTACAATTTACTGCATTGTTCTGAAATGATTTAGAAGTGAAATCAATCATTTTGAAATCGGAAAAATCTTTTTGAATCACACCTTTATTTTGTAGCATGTTCTATAGCCAACATATTGTAATGATTTTAGCAAGTTTTTTTGATGTAAACTTTTTTTTGTCAGCTCACTTTTGTCCAATTAAAAGCAGATTTTATCAATAATAAAAATGTATTTTCTTTAATACCTTGTAGTTTTTGTGTTTAATATGTTTATTCAAAAGCATAAATAAAAGGGCAAATTTAAACAGCAAATTTAAATTCAGCTTTCAGTCAGGTGTGTCTTGATTTCAGTTTCGGCCAGGATTTTTCATTTCGGTGCATCACTATTTCAAACCAGTCCAACTACTTTACCACAAAATGGACACTTTATGAAGGAGACAATTAAATGAAAAAAATCAACATAAACAATATGTTGTCACCACCTCCACAATACTTGACTTACACAGTCCTTGTGAATGAAAGACCATCCCTATGGTCAGAATGTAACATTTAAACCAGCTTAATTCCTTTTGGTGAACTAGTGTGACTTCTTAATTCCAACACAGGACCTTCTTAGTCTCTGGCATCTTCCTTTAATCAGATCATATTGCCCTACACAGCCAACGGTCCATAGACCTTTGTAACCTACCACTGACGACAACTGGCCTTTAGCATCTATAGACCGGCACAGATGCACACTTGTGTAAAATGTATCTGTATCAATCCAGTATGGATCTCAATGAAAGGACAGAAGAACTTCACCATCTGGGACCTCATCAATTCAGGGACATGATTCCAGATCAGCGCCAAAACAAAAGGATGAGAGCAGCTAGGTCATTAGCACAATCGGCTTAGCAGGGAATGTGCTTTCACTGGTTTGATGATGGTTGGAATGCTCAAAGACAAGAGCATGGAGCCACAGGTCTAAACCTACAGGATAAAGCTTATCTTTATGGCAGTACGCAGATGTGTAGCGCAATACTCCAACTGGCACTGATGATACTCCAACTGTGAGACAATGCAGATTAATCTCAACAGCTTGAAAGAAAAATGAGAAGGAAGAGCTCTTAAGCACTCGGAAGATCTGCGGATCTGTCCGGCTGCTTCATCTACCTGAAGGAAAGGAGGAGGGAGGGAAGGAGAACGAGACAGAAAAAGAACGAGAGAGAGGGCAAAGACGTCATCCCAGCAGCTCTTTGTGTGAGCTCAGCATATTAGAGCACAGTGACTGCACGCTTCCACTCAGTCTTAGGCTGAGAAACAACCCGAGTGAATGTAACATGGGATGGTTCTTTTTCAGAGTAGCTTACGTGTCTTTCACTCACAGTAAACAAACATCCAGATACTCACTGATTTACATTACAGCACATGAACAATGGATATTAAAAGAAAAAGGCATTTTGCACATCCCAGAATCCAGCCGGAAAAACTAATTTGAAGTCAGAGATGCACCAAATGCAGCCACAAATCAAGCGAGTACATCTTCATAAAACTGCTCGCTTACACTGCCATGGCAATATTCATCTCCCTCTCTCTCTCTCTCTCTCTCTCTCTCTCTTTCTGTTCACTCTCCTGGTAAAAAATAAAGGATTTTTCCCTCTGAAGATGCAGATGAGAATGGCCCCTGCTGGA